ATACATCCTTTTTCCAGGAAGTTCACCAAATGCTTTTGAATTCTCCCACATGCCTTTTAACTATTTCAGTATAAATACTCAAAAACCTTAAGTCAGTCATCCTCATTCTCATATGCTCATCAACAAGAGCTGATCATTTAGCTCATTAGCATTTGATTATCACCACATAAACTTTACCAACAAGACAAAACTTCAACTTTTTTTCATCACCAATCAAAAGACATTATCTAAGATGGGAAGAGCTCCATGCTGCGAGAAGATGGGGTTAAAGAGAGGCCCATGGACTCCTGAAGAAGATCAAATCTTGATCTCTTTTATCATCAAACATGGCCATAGTAACTGGCGAGCTCTCCCTAAGCAAGCTGGTAGGAACAATTTAATATCCCACTTATATATAGAGTCAGTCTAATTTCCCAAATTTGATTATATAGATTTCTTATGTTGATGATATTTATTAATTACAGGTCTCTTGAGATGTGGGAAAAGCTGTAGACTTAGGTGGATGAACTATCTAAAACCTGACATTAAAAGAGGCAATTTCACTAAAGAAGAGGAGGATGCTATCATCAGCTTGCACCAAATCCTTGGCAATAGGTATTACTCTACATTCTTCTACTTTTACATAATAAATTTATCCACCTATGTCTATATACGTCATACGTACATATAATTTTATTTTATTCTCTCACCATACAATAATCATCACAAGAAACATGTTTTGGTCCACTATTAAGTAATAATACAATAATCCGCTCTTTGATTTGTTTGGTATTGACGTCATTTTCCTTCTTTTGGTATCGTCTCTAGGTGGTCAGCGATTGCAGCAAAATTACCAGGAAGAACGGATAACGAAATCAAGAACGTATGGCACACTCACTTAAAGAAAAGACTTGAAGATTACCAACCTGCTAAACCTAAAACCAGCAACACAAAGAAGGGTACTATACCGAAATCTCAATCCGTGATAACGAAATCTAACAGCATGAGTAGCGAATCGGATCTTGCAAATTCACCAAACCCTTCTTTAGAAAGCGTGTTCTCCGCGTCACCTTCGACAAGTGAGGTTTCTTCGGTGACACTCATGAGCCACGAAGGCCATAGCAACGAGGCTAAGGTGGATAATAAGTCGGGAAACATAAGTACTATCCATCAAGATTGTTGTTCTTTCGAAAATTTTGGTGTAGACATCGACGAGAGCTTCTGGAACGAGGCGCTTTATAGTCAAGATGAACAAAACTACGCAACGAATCTTGAAGTGACCGGTGTAGATGAGATACAACAAGAGTTTCAGCACTTAGGATCCGTTGATAATGAGATGATTTTCGGCAGCGAAATGGACTTTTGGTTCGATGTATTGGCAAGAACCGGCGGGGAACAAGATCTTTTAGCTGGGCTCTAATTTAACATGTTTGGAGAGTAAAGTGAAACTAATGGTGCAGATTATAAGTCTAAGAAAACAATCACTTTTGATGTGAGCTAGTTAGTTTTGCGTTTTGAAAAGATTGCATTCATTTCTTTTCCAAGATTGAGTAGTTAGCTAGTTCGAGTAATAATCAATGACAAAAATTAACTACTGTATGTATATTGCCTTGTTAATGACATAATCAATCACCAAACATTGGATGCCAAGCGATTAAAATGTAATATTAAAAGTATAATTGTCTTTTTTTAGTGAGATTTTCAATTTTCAAGTTCAACTATGGCGGAAAAGGAAAGTTGCTTCTTAAATTATTAAAGAAAAGTAGCTCAATGATTCTAAACATTGTTAGTTCTCTAAACTATTAAAAACACACATAATTAATCTAGTGATTAACGGTTACATGAATTTATTTTTTAATTACAATAAAACCATGAATAGAATA